ACAAAATGCAGAAAAGAGGAATTAAGTAGGAATTGCCTTTGAAAGTTCATGATTCAGAACTGAGATGAAAGGCAGTGGAAGTTGATGAGTTCAACCAAAAAGGCATTATTGAAAAAAAATTGATATGTCTTAAGCATAGTTTGTATTTAAGAAAGAAGATTTGCAGAAGATGGAAATAGACTTTAAGTCTCAAGAGCTCAAAGAATTGTCCTATTAGTTTAGAAATGGAGAAATTGAGAAGGAGAGTAAGTGTTGAACTTATTGTATTCAATTTTAAACATTTTGAGTATGACGTAAAGGTGAACTGCCTAGATAGGAATTTATAGAGATGGATGGAAATACATTGAGGGAGAAAATATGGCTGTAAGTTAAGAGAGTTTCATAATCATCAGCCTAGAGGGCAAGGCCATTAATGTATTAGGTGATTAAAGAGAAAGGAAATTCTGAGAGCTGAGGCTGAGCCATGAGGGATGCTCTGTTAGTGGGGCAGAGGTGCAGGTCACAAAGGCAAAAGAAAAGACATCATTCAATAATGCTATTAGAAGTTCAAGAATGTTTTAAAAAGTAGACTTAGAAAAAAGACTATGGATTCAAAAGATTTTACAGAGATGAAAGCTTATAGTCAATGAGAAATTAGGTGTAGAGAAAGAGGAACATAATCATTTTAGATGTTTGGGTAGAAATTGATGAAGAAGAAATAGAACATCAGAATAATTCGAGTATGTTTTTGATGCTCAGTAATTTTTAAAAAGTTATGCTAGAAATTGGAGAAAACACAAAGATAAATCAGAAACCACAATTGCATGTATTACTTTACAATCTAATAGAAAAGGGGAGAGATGTGTATTAATTTATAGTGAAGAAACCAGGTTATAATAAAGATGAGTATGACTTGAAGCTCTGAGTGCTAAAGATATGGAAAAAAGAGAGAGATACCTGAGGTATTCAAGTACTGGTTAAACTTCTGTAACAAAGACAGTCCAGAATTTTGAGCCTTGAATCAAAAGACATTTATTTCTCTCTCATTCACAGCCCAGAGTAAAACAGGTCAAGGCTGGTGGGCAGCTCTGTCATACTCAACATGGGGTTTCTAATACTTCTCTAGTCATCACCATTCCCTAAAAAAAAAAAAAAAAAAAAAAAAGAGAAGGAAGAGAGTCCAGGGCAAATATCCATAATGAGAATTCTCAAAAAGTTGCACACATTGCTTCTCCTCATATTCCACTGGCTCAAACTAAATTACATAAAAAGAGAAGTTAGGAAGTACAGTTTAGTTGGACAGCAATGTTCCCAGTAAGCAAAACTCAGAGAAAAATTAATATCAAGGGATATTCATCAGTCTCTATTATAGATATTCTCTATGAAAGAGGATGAGGAAAGCCACAACTATATGGTGGTATTGAGTAGAATTAAAGGATTGGTGTAGGATCTGAATATCTATGGAATGGAGAGTAGGGAATTACAGGCTGAATGAAAATATAAGCAAAGAAATGCATATGAATAAATATAGGGCTTTTTTTCTGGAAAGAAGTTAGCAGGCCAGCTGGTAGGAGATCAGAGTTTGTGAGGAAAGATTGTTGATCATAATCTAGAAAAGGTATTTTGGAGCACAATGCAAAGGTTCTTGAATTCCATGATTGACGAGGATATTTTATATATAGACCATGGACATAGTTGAAGATTTGTTTATAATAGAGCTGTATGTTACAGATATTATTGTACATGAAAATTAGATCAGAATAGTTTATAGTATATAGAGATTATAAATTTGGAATATAAAGCGGAAAGTCCAGTTAGGTGGCTATTGCTACAGAGAGTGACAGCCTGAACTAGGATAATGCCAATGGAAGTAAACAGAAAAGGGGAAGGGCAAGCAATCAAACAGACATTCTGGAGGTACTTTGACAACTGGAGTTTTAGGATGAGGGGCAAAGGAATGTAAAGAACAGAAATCGACTCAAAGGATGTTGAGCCTAAGTGAGCTGAGGGCTAGTGGCAGGACCATGCAATTGTTCATTTAGGAATGCTGGCAGGTGATGCTATTAACAGCGATAGGAAAGGTAATAAAAGAGGAAGAATTAAGAGGAAAGATTATAAATTAATATTGAATGTATCAGTATTGAAAAGTCTACTGTCAAGACACTGGAAATTCACTTTAGGTCAAGAGAGCTATTAAAGTTAAATATATATATTTGGGATAACTGAGAATTTTTATGAGCAGAAAAATATTAATTGGGAGGCCAATAGAATTTTACAAAGTGAAACTGAAGGAGATGGAAGATGAGGACAGATATTGAAGCAAGATCTGTGGAAATAGAATAACTGCTACACTTAACTCTATCCTTTCTTAGAAGGGAAAGGTGATTTAACTTCAAAAACAAATCAGGAATAGAACTGGAATCAGTTGAGCTAAATGTGAGGAAGATAAAGCAGAGTAGACCACAGACAAAGCAGTGCAAGGCCAGCAAGTGAGAGTGTTTGTGTGTGGGGGGAGTGCTGC